CTCTGTTTTTCTATATGAATTGTTTATTAAGTGGGCGGGGTTTGGAGTTAAGGGGCTTAGCTTCTTCTTAACTTCTTCTTCGAAGTTTAATTTATCCATCCATCAAGTTAGAGGGTGACTGCATTCAATTTCAATTTCATTCCAATTCATTTTTCACCGGTTGTTTCAACCGCTCTTATCTATGGAATTTTAGGGTAATGCAGAAACTCGGTCCCCCATAAAACCCGAACACTAGCCTCTCGCCCACGAGGCGTCACGCTTACCACTACACCAAGCCGCCGTTGAGGAGCAGGCTGCTTCCATTTAATTTAAGTTTTCTCATGTAATGTCACCTGAAACCATCCTCATACAGTAGGGTAATTTTTGCCACTTTATGAACAAATGTAATCCTCTAGCACGAAATGCTTGAAACAAAGAAATTTTTCACAGTGAGAGAAACGGATGAAGAAGAACTCGTCACAGCCCATTGCTTTACACTACCTAATCCCAAACCAGAAGGAAAACAGAATTGAATAGGCGTCTCAAAATCTCCCGGGTAAGTGCTCAAGTAGCCGGCGGCATACCAAGAGAAATTTTCTAAATCTCATCGCCTAGAATTGAAAATAGACAGGCGATATTAAGCAAAGAATGGGGTCTCGTGTATACACGTAAAAGTTGAGATCATTTCAATTCATACCTATCAGAACTTCCAATTAGAGCTTTTCACAGACAGCGAGAGTTACGGGTTTTTGGGCAATTCATGGGTGGACTGAATGTGGACCAGTGTATAAACTATTACACGAGTCATCTTTAACAAGATTGATAGAACACTGAATGACGGACAGCCATGCGATCCAGCAGGGTCTTGGAGAGTGTTCAGCACAATCGCTCAAATTAACTGTACCAGACTTAAGGTAGTATGGTCATGGACTTTTCGAACTCGCGTAACTAATGTGGCTTGAACTTTACAACGTTTGTAGAAGGATCGGCTTACGAATACACCTAATGAAGACAATGTCTATGATAGATCCCGATGTTTCTTCCACGCTCAATGGTACGAACCTATATGAAGCTCTAGCGACGTGTACATAGGTCAAATCAAATTGATGAGCGACATAGATCTGAAGCTGAGTAGAAGGAAACGCGCGAGTTGTGGAGCATTTCAAGAACATCGAGGCAGTTGTGAAAAAAGAGAGCATCCGGCTCGGCGCACACCTTTTCGACACCGCAGCTCTTGTTGCTTTGACACGCGCCTCAGAAACTTGGACTCCAGGCAGGCATGATGAGCATGCAGTCAGCATCATTCAACACGCTGTCGAAAGGACAGCGTTTGGACCATACACACAAGTTCAAGTGGGAATCCGAAGTTTTGAGTTCCGTCAACTAACTAAGATTCAGGCACGCAGTTGCTTACGCGAAAGAATCACCAAAGAAGATAAATGAGCCGAGCATGACATGCGATTTGTGATGACCGTTGGATCAGGGCGATCACGGAATGGATACCTTGGAACGCCAAACGAACACCAGAATAGCCGATAGCACGTTGGACAGACTTCTGAGAATAACTCTGAACCAGAGGAATATCATGCCTCGTGCCCTTCAAGCGAGGAGGGTCGACTGGGCTACACTGGCTCGCGACACGAGTAAATGTAGACGTAACTCGCAGTCGCTCGAGCTCAAGGAAATCGATGAAAAACGACATTCCGCATCCCGTAAAGTCATATCACATCAAAAGCTTGCACAGCAACAGAGGTAATGCGATAGTGGAGAGCTCTGCGGTTCCCGTCCTACCTCCTATACTTGGTATCCGCTGCTTCGACGCTCCCGGCTAATCGTGTCAGGACCCTTCAAAGTTAAAGTTGAAACCTCCTGACCCGATTAGCTAGACTAGTTCTCTGACTGTTATCTAAAAATATAGGAGACCCTCCGGCAAGTGCCGCGTACCTGGCTCTTGGTTCATTGCCAAAAGGGTGGACACTCCTCGACTGGACTTTTTTGACTACGGTTTGCTTCAATATACGTGTAACACTTTATTCTGAGTCCAGAGCGTCTAACTGTTACTCCTTAATGTTTATTGATGAGGTTGTGAGGTTTACTCGCTTAAGGGTTTGTTTGTGATCCTAAGCTCTACACTCTTACAGACACCTTTAGCAGTCAAGTGTTCTCTTGGTAGGGCGTAGTTGCTCCACTTCGTTTTAACCCGATTCCGTAGAAGGGTATTCTTAAACTCATCAAGTGGAATTTTTTACAAGTTTCCAGCAGACAAGTAACACGTTTTAGCCTTCTGGGATCATGTCACGCGACACGAGCCGGAAAGTCCTCTATATTTTTAGATGTGATTCTCATCCCAATATCACTACCTTTCTGATACTCAAGCGAATAACGAACTTAAACGGGAATGAAAATTGCCGAAATGGATTTCGTTCCATTTCGGTCTTCCTAGTGAGACTTAGTGCCTCAACGTATTTTGTCCAAAGTGGCTTACCTTCAATAATTTACGTCTCTGGAAGAATGATTGCATTTCAGCATATCACCGCATTTTCTGCAAAACATCTAAAAACCATAAATTTATTCTGTGAAGATAGCATCTTTATATATAAACAAAGCAAAACCTTCTGGATAATTATGACATACGACGCCGTGAGCGCCGCGAACTGCTGCATATCACATTCACAAAGGAGCCTATAGGCAGCAATGCAACAAGAACCATTTTCAAATTTCTAAATAACTACCTCATACACGCTTAGTTCACAGCACCTGTTCGAGAGGCGATGCGCTGTAAATGCTACGCTTATAGGCTTCTCCGATTATGAAACTAAGCTCAAGATTAGAATAAAAAATTCTAAAAATTTTGAAACCACGAAAACAGCATTAAAAGAAGGGTTACCTTTCGGCTCATACATATGTATAGTCTGCTCACGCGCTGCGACCGCCCGCTTCCCAATCCGTTAGACTCGATCATATGTATTCCCAATACCAAGTGCTTCCCGTGTATTCTACGTACAACAAACTCGAAAACGATTCTTATCACAGAAACAATCTTTAGATTATAGCGATAAAAGTGAAATTAATGTGAACTAAACGACAGGTTAGATAAAATGTGCAGAAAATACACCCTTGAGGGGGAACAAGCATGTCGAAATACTTAACCAAGGCACACCAAAACAGTTGAACAATAGACTTCGTCAGACTTCGAAAAACTGACAGCTTGGGACTTTCAGAAACATACAAACCGAGGCACTTCGCATATCATACACCCACATTAGAAAGGATCGATTGTTTAAAATCGATAAATCGAATCACAAATTCAGCTGATGATATGTAGACTAGAAACGATGTGCTGCTTTCTATTAGTGAACCAACTTTTACAAAAGCACACCGGAGTAATATTCGTTCACAACCCGAAATCACAACATCAGAGTAATACTAGTAAGCTGTGACCCCAAAAATTTAAATAAGCAGCGCATAGTGAGGAAAAATGATGAACTGAAAATACCTAGAAAATCTTCAATATATTCGTGTACGTGGTAGAAATTTCAGAAGAGCAGTGTATGAACAATTCGTTACGTTTTGATGAAGACAACTAACTTATTCAAGACTCATCGGACCGACTTCCACCCAAAGGAAACATAATCATATTGGCTCGCAAGAATTCGAGATCCGGTAATTGATCGTGGAGGGCACGAGCGTCCAGTGACAATTCTGACGGTTGCCGATTGTTTCGTTTAGAAGTATTTGTGGCCGATGCCATCAGCATATCCAACATTGTTCTGTAATGACTCGATTTGGAGTAAAAAGAAGTTGGACCTGANTGCAGCAGCACAACAACCACGGTTCCTATGGCAACGAAGGAAAACAACCAGCTGCGACTCAATAAACTGGGTATTAAAATATTCATAAAAACTACGAATATGGCCGTGATAAGAAGGTTAGTAAATGATGACATG